GTCCCAATACGATTGGTCGAAATTCTTGCCTCTCGTTCTGTTCAAAGAGCAGACTTTGCTAGATTATATCCTAAAGCAGAAAAGATCCGATACCAAGAGAACATGATTCTTATTTCTCATCTTGTTAATCAAAATAGAAGACCTATAGTTTCTATTCTAAGTTCCAATCGTAGAAGCAAAATATGGATTCTGACTCATAAAAGGATACTCTCCTATATGCAATGCAATAATAATACAACATTGGACGAAATAAAAAACTGACAATAGCTTTCTCAGTTATATTAATTGACGGTGTTCCGGTGAACCAAAATGAAAACCCGAGCAACAGATCATTCTTAATATCCAAAACCAGAACCAGTATCTGTCTGGACCGCAAACAAAAAAACTGGTTCATGATCACTGTAAAATGCTTACTGGATCTGCAAAATTCTTTACTAAGTTACTGTTTCAGGCAGTATCTTGATCTCAGTTTGTCTAAGACCTCTGCATGCTCCATTGGAGTTTCCTTATTGCAGAAAACATCATTCCATATCTTGAGAAGCTCTGCTCCCAACAGAAATCAGTTAGATAAAAAACTACATTCTGATGTAAGCTCATTTACACAATCAGATTAAAGATCCCTGACATGACATGAAACTGATAAAGGGAGTGTACCGTTTTTCTCGGTTGAGGTAAGGCACATGACGAGCATGTTGAATCTAGGAACCTTTGTTAGGTTCTCAATGTATTTAACAGCTAGATCCATATCTTCACTGCAACACACAAGAAACTATAAGCACCAAATTTTTAGCAGAGTTTGGTGACAAAAAAATGCAAAATGGTTGAATTACTCACTCGAAAAATAAGGCTACGCATTTGATAATGTCAACCAGTACAGGAGAAGTCAAGGCGTTCTTGAAAATCTGAGGTAAAGAGCTCGGAGTCGTAACCTGATACATTTACAAACGCAATGAGTGGGGCTGTTGTTTGGGGATTAAATACATTAGTTTTTGCAGCTGATATGTCAAACCTTCAACAACTGGGTTTGTAATACACGGTCCCCAGAAAAACTCCGCCATAAGTTTTCAAATTCGTAAGCAGATTTTGGGGCGTTAATGTTTTTAGAAACTTCAGCCATTGCAAGTGATGCTGCACGAGTAGCAAGCTCTTGTACTGATGGTTTTAGTTCCAGCTTTCTAGAAACCTGGTTTCCCTGTAAAATTAGAATGGGGACAAGCATTGTAGCATCAGAGTGGATTTTGTTGTACCACATCAGCCTTTATAACCCCACTTACATCGCCAATACTTACCGGACCAGAAGGCTGAGTACTATTTCTGCCAGAAGCCCTCGCCGCCTCCTCATAACCTAGGCTTCTAGGCGTCACTTTCTTACGGTCTACATGTTCTGTGATAGTTGAAATTTTCTTGGAACCTTCTTTGTTTTTCTCCTGAAGATGTCACAAAAAAAAGATTACGCGACAAGTTCCGTGAGACAAGCTTTCAAATATATTCCAACAGGGTATTTGAAGACAAAACTTCCGTGTGATAATTTACTTGTGACACTTACACAGACCTTTTATATGTGCATTTCCGTACTTAAGATTATATCTAACAAAACAAAATTTAGCATGTACCTCAGGTTGTACATTTTCAATGAGCTTCTTCCCCGAACTTTCCTTGCTACCTGAAAGAGGCCGAACCATATCCCCATTTGTTTTGGCCCCCAGGGTCACCGGCTTCAAATTTATTTCTGTATTTGGCATTTTTGTTTTCTTATCTAAACCCGCTGTTTTGAGCAATTCTTGTGCAGTGCTTTGCATTGCTCCCGTGGCTTTCTGAATAATTTCCTGCTCAGGATTCAAAAGGTTCTTTTTGGTTAAGCATATAAATTTTATCTGGCAAAGATACAGCAAAGAACAATTTCGAAATATTACTTTCTCGAGAAAAGATTTGATGTCGGCGTACTGCTTCTTGAGTTCCTGACTCTGAGGCTCTAATCTTAATGCAAACTCAGCATCTGCGATTAATTTTAATCACCTTACATATGCAGCGAGAAGTAATAAAGAAATTGTATGTAACTTAAGTGCACAGAATGAATATATGGGTGTGTTGGACGGATACCTTCCTTCGCTTCCTTAAGCATGCCGAGTTCTTTTCTTGCTGTTGCTCGGCGTGAGTATGCTTTTATGTATCGATCATCCAGATTTAAGGCTTCTGTGCAGTCTACCTCGGCCTCTCGATATCTAATGTAAAGAAACATTTACAGAACCAGAAAAAAAAAAACTTCAGGATTTTCAGGTGCTGGAACACAAGCAGACACTCTGAATAAGTGAAAAGACATTGGACTAGCCTTTTGATTTTAAGGTAAGCCATTGCCCGATTTGCGTAAGCCACAGCATTTGGAGATAAAGCAATGCTCCTAGAATAACAATCGATCGCCTCATTGAACTTTTTCTGCTTGAAAAACTCATTACCCTGTATTTTGAGAGAAAATCGAATGTGAAGACGGGATTGAAGGGATATGACATAGCTAATCATAGCTTGAGGAGAAGTACCTGTTCCTTCTCTGAATTAGCATCCACGAAACTACTTGACAAATCATTCACCGGACCATACTTTTTTACAAAGTCATATTCCCCTGAACCACTCGGTCTGAATTTCTCACTATTCTGAAGCTCAAAACAAGAAAACTCATTAGGAAAAGAAAGACTAAACCTAAACATATGAGCTATGTCAAAGCAAATGAGAGTATTTCTAAACACACCGGATTTGACAACTTAGCAGGCTGCTGCTTGATTTTCTTGTCCTTATCCTTCAAAGAAAGTTCCCAGTCCTGCAAGTCATTCAAGAATCCCTGGAAATCCTGGGAAAATTGTTCGAATCCAATGACAAAAGTAAACATCTAAAATTCGTTCATATAATCTAAACATACTTTACGAACACAACACTATTTCGATTGAAATTACTAAATCAAACCAACAAGCTCGTTATACTGAGAAATCTCCATGAAATCCAAGTGGGAAATAACAAGTAGGAATAGTTTCGATTCGTTCTCTCAGTTCTCAAGTAACAACAACACTGAATCGAGTAAAAATCGTAACCTGTGTTTGATCGCGGCCGTGTTTGCTCGGTGTCTTAGACATACTGAGATTCTCCGGCGAGAAAACTAGCGACGAGAGACGATTCTGGAACAAGAAGACTGACTTGGACTTCAATTTTGAAATATTGTTAACATATATTGGGCTTGGGCCGCTATATAATATTTCGGATTATCTCGAGTCGGGTCGGGTCTATAACCGGGTTAAACAACGGGTCGGACCCTGCTCAATTTGTTTCTTGAGGGAAAGGAAATCGCACAAGCTTTTTAGTGGAACCAAAACATCAGATCTTCGAGAAGCCAATCTTTCTCTCTTTACTAGGAATTTTCCAGAAGATGACTGTAAGTAGGATCAATCTTAATTCTTCAGTGTATATGCTTCTGATTCTTTTGGGTTTTTTGTTTTTATGAATGATAATTTCTTCTCCGATTTTGGTTTGGTCCTCGCAGTTTACTATTCCGATTGATAACGGAGATGCCGTGAAGAACGCAGAGGCTGATTCACAAAGAACACTGTAATA